AGCCGATGGAGTTCTCTTTGTTTTCTAGATCAATCACTGTACAGAATTCTGTATACTAACCTTGGCAGAGATCTTAAATAATAATAAATACTGTGATCAAAATGTTAGGGTGAGCCCAAATGCAAGAAAGAGCAGAAATGGGGCTGTCAGCTGCCGGCAGCGAGGAGAACTGGCAGGGCAGGGCACGAGCTGCACTGCCGCGCTGCTGCTTGCCAGGCCTGCTTTCCTGACCAAGTCATGCTGCCGACGAGCACTCCAAGGGCTCGTGGTCCTTTGCATTGCAGTTCTCATTCCTAGCTGAACCTCCGAGCGACCAGCCCACACTGTGACATTCCCTCCTGAGTTGAAGTCAGCACTGCTGATGGTCTGTTGTGCTCCCAGCCTGAGTTACAGCTGGCATTGCAGGTAGTGCTTGGTGGACAAGCTGAGCAAATGCGCTAWTCCAGTGATGTATCAACCCCTATTAACAGAGAGGGATGTCTCTTATAATTTAAATGTGAGTAAAGTTGCTAAGCAAAGGAATATTGGCCTGAAATATCAACAAGGCTCAACTGTGGGGACAGCAGCAAGAGCATATTGTTAAAACCCTGCAGGAAGACAAAAAATTGTGTCTCCAAATAATAGAAAAAGATGAACATTGTGCTAAATCAGATCAGTTTGGGGATGCAAAATTGTCCTAGAGTTACCTGCAGAAACAAAGGCCCCCTTTGTGCGTCAGTGAAGGACCAGAGCTGCGACAGCGTTTCTTCGTGCATTCGGTACAGGTTCCCTCTCTCCATTTGCAGGAAGCAGAAGTGACAGGCTGCAGTTCTAGACCCAGCTCAGGCTGAAGTGTGCTTGAAGCTGGAGCTTCCACTTCCCTGGCAGGGCCTTAAGCCAGGAGGCGAAAATTGGGGGGGGGGGAAAGCCTTACTCTTAAAGCAGCACTGTTTTATAGCTAGAAGAGCAGAGCTCTGGGCTAAGGGCTTGTGCCATTCAACAGCAGCCCCAGCTTGTTCAGGCATTTTATATCCAGCGGATAATGACACAGAAGTAATCCAGAGAGCTCGGACTGACTTTTTTCCCAGTGTCAAGAAGCGTGAGTGAAGAGCTCGAGTGGCTTCAGTGATGAGTGTGTCCCATGCACTCGCTAGCCTGCTGGAGCCCCCGCAGCCGCTGCCCCGTTTCCTCTGCTGAATCTGAATCTTCTGCAGGGCCTCCTGAGGGCAGGAGCCTCCTCGCCGCCGGCGCCAGGCCGGGCAGGACGCAGCTCGTGGCGCGGTGCTGGGTGGGAGGGCAAGTCCTGCTGCACGCTCAGTAYCATGTGGAGCTGCGCCTGGGGAGAAGGAGCTGCCCTGCCGGCCTGGGAGTCTCCCGTGCACTAGGCGGGAATCCCAAGGAAGGCCTTTTCAGCCACTTTTCAAATTAGAATTGTATGTTGGTGTTTACACTGAAAATTTTCCCCTGGGGTTTTAGCTGTAATAGCATTTGCTGGCTCTTCTTTTCCCCATCTGTAGGCTGAAATTAATGTGCTATTATGTCACATTTTTCAAATGAATTGATTTAGTGCTTAAGCGTAAAACACTGAAGTTTATCTTCCCTCATTAGTCACACTCATCTGCCATTACCCTTCTAAACATGGTCCTACATGATGTACACTGGGAGAGCCAGCTGGGCTGGCTTGCTAGGACAGGGCACGAGCGCTGCCAAAGGTGCCTCTGTGGGGTAATGCAGACTGCTGGGGACGGGCTCACCTTGCACAGCCTCCTGCCTTGGCCTCCGCTCTGCTGCGTGCAAGCTGCACACCTCTTGACATGGAGCTTGTTGGAAAAGCAGAGCTCGTGTAGTGGAGAAACAAGGGCCAGGGCTTTTGTTCCATCCTTTGGGGCTGAAATAGCTTTTAATACCCAAGCTAGCATGGTGCCTACATGCTAGATATGTGCCATACAAATACTGAAATAAACCACTGATAGGGACAGACTGAAATTCAGACTTTTCCTTTGTGTCGTTTACAATGGCTAACTTCTGGCAGTCTAAAACGATAGGTGTTCCCTTGGAGCGTGTTTGTGGAGCAGGATGCTGGGCACTGCCCCGAGCAGTTCAGCGGGATGTTGCTCCCCTGCCTGCAGCAGCAGAGCAGCAGCCACCTCAGGACCCTCCTTGCCGAGGTTCTGCTCGCTGTCGAGTCTGTGAGCCGTTAACCACACTGAAAGCCTGGAAAAGACCATTCTGTTCCAGCTGAATTGGTTCACAGATGTTGTGTATAGGCTTTGCTGTAATGAACGGGGAAAATCAGGTAGAGATAGACCCCAGGGTTTCCTCTGGGCTTCCTGGGTAGTTCAGTGCAGGCATCCAGCCCATTTAATAGGGCCGGGGTTTGGCCCTGGGCATCCTTCCCTTCTGCCCTCTCCCCAGTCCTCCAAAAGCTGCAATTAGCTGATCAAATGATGCGAGCTGTGTGGGGTGATTGGAAKTTTACGGTGCACATGGAACTTTGCAATGCATACATCCATTTATACATGCACTGTGTATGTAATGCATACCAATGCAGCTGCTTTCCAAAGAACCTCTCGTGCTCACRGTGTCTGAACCAAATAATGGATTTTGGTGAGACGAACCATACTGGCTGTGAGAAAAGGCTGTGGAAGCTCCGTTCATGCTGAAAAATTGGCCCGGTGAAAAAAGCTCAGAAATAAGTCAGCAATTTGGATTCACATAGAATCAATTTTATTGCCAGGTAAGAAATTCATATTAATATAGTGAATACATATGTTTACAAATAAACATTCTTAAAAAACAAACAAACATTTTATTGTAGGAAGTATTATTGGTATCATAAACTCTGTAGTTAACAAGTATTAACACGGGTTTACTTACAGAACATACAGTTACTAAAATATTTCCACATAAAATATGCTCAAGTTACACGAAACCTGTGTGAATTAGAGTGCAGCTGTAATGTGCATCTAAAGCATATGGATTAACAGCAACATTCCATAAAGGGTCAAATTAAGTCAGCCAGTTGAGAAGGCGATAAAGATTAAAGGAATAAAAGTAAGATAATGGAGAATCTGGGCTGTGTGCAAAGTATTTGTCCCAWGGGCTTTGTGCAGTTCTCATAGTCTGAAATACGGTCATAGAATTTAGTTTATGGAGAGATGCCGGTGCCCTCGGGAGGCAGGTCAGTCTTGAGATGCCTAGAAAAGCTGTCTCTCCTCCCAAGCCCATTTCAACTGCTGAGCCCTCCCCTCCTTCCGCTTAAGAAGAGACCTTGCCAGAGCCAGCAGAGTACAGTGAGAAATGCCACTTCCAACTCTGCTTGCAGCATAACTCTCCTCACTCCTCCCTGTATGCTCTTCCAAAACTAATCTGACAAGAACTGGCAGCTGGTGAGAATGCAACTGTAGTAAAATAGCTAATTAGGAGTTAGCCAAATTGCTYGCCTTGGGGGAAGGGCAGGAGTTGAAGTGCAAGACTGTGTGTGTTGCCTGGCACGAGGCTGCTGCAGCAGCGCCGTCCATCCCCGCGGTCCCTTGCAGCTGAGCCGGAGCCCCGTGCTTCCTGGCCCACTGGAAGCACCCGCTTCCAGGCTGGCTTTCCTCCTACAAACAAGGTGCTCCGCTCCTGAGAGCCCCAGGCTGCAAGGGACCGGCTTGTTGCTTATTTGAACTCAGACCGTTGCTTATTTGAACTGAGATCTCTTCCATGTCGAGGCTGCTCTAGGAGCCTTGTCCACCAAATAGCCCGCCGAGGGGGAGCGCCACTGTGGAAAGCCGAACAGGGCAGACAATATACCACAGAACACTTAGTTGAACTACAGAGGAGAGCTACTATGGCTAAAAGCAAATACAGAATGAGAGACTGGAAGGGAAAAGGTTGAATTGGGAAAATGGAGGGGCTAACTAAAAGAGTCTTGACAGCGAAACCACTGCACGGAGGTGGAGCCCAGTTGCCCTTCTGGACAAACAGAGGAGGTCGAATAGGGCAGAACCCTCATCAGCCTCAGCAAAACATGAGGAAATAGCTTAAAGAACAGAGGGGTCACTTGGAGAAACAAGACTGTCATTGAACAATAGTAATACAGTAAAGGCACCACCCACGCTTATTTTCAGTCTGAAGCAGTTAAGATAGGCAAAACATTTAGGTGAAGAAGAAGTCCCGCCAGTCTGCAAAGTGAGACTTGTCACTGTCTGCCTGAAAACAGGAGGCCTGAGAGGGAAGGTTGTGATGCCCTTATTCCCCCCGCCGCTCTCTGGGCCATGGGGTTTGTCGCTTCTCGTATTGGAGGGTCCCCAAAATTGCAAATCAAAGTAAACCAAAATAAAATCTTCGCTGTTTGTTATCATCCCTCGGAAATCCCTCTTGGATAGAAAGGTCCCGTATGCTGTCGGTGATAACAGTCTTCATAAATTTCATGTGAAAAAGTCTYTTTGTCCCCTATTGTGTATATATATTTTTTGCACTTTCTATAGGATGGTATGAAAGGACAGTAATAGACGTTAGGGTTCAGCCAGGACGTTAACTCTTGGCCTTTCACAGGTCTAGTGATTATTAGGTTTTATACAAAATTCCTCACTGGAACAATAAATTACAGTATATTGGTTTTTTCTCTCTCTCTCTCGTCCTCTGTCTCAAGGCAGAAACATAGTGTAAAGGTTTAAGCAGACATAAAGTTTCTCTAGATTGTGCTACTTCTCATCATGGATTTTAGTTTCAAGTAAAAAAAATTTAGTCAGAAGGGTTTGTGTTCCATTGTGAAATACAAATGGAGTTTGTAATTCAACCTTCAGTGTGTATTGCTGAATGGTATTAACCCCCTCGTCGGCCTACGCGTGGCTGCGCGCCAGCAATGTCCAAGTGGAAGTTCCTCTTTTCTTCTTTCCTTCCTTTTCCTTCTTTTCTTTTTTCTTTTTATTTTTTTTTAATTTATTTTTTGCCTCATTTAGTTGTGTTTGTGTCGTGTGTGTATTTGTGTGTGGTTCTGAAGGATTTCATTTTTTAAAAAAAAAAGGGCATAAACCTCAAACAGTCACTTCTGTCTTGCTGTTAGTTATGAAGTATGGCTGCGGGCCCAGGTAGTGCTGGCTGCGCGTGGTCAGCGGGTCGGTGAGCGTCGGGTCGCCCACTCCGTGCCGGCCCCGGCCCGTGTACGCTTGCCGTCTGAGGGACTGGTAGTTGGGATCCCAGGTCTTGTAGTGGGAATTGTAGGGTAGCGCGTGCGCGGGGAGCTTCGTCACTTTGGACTTGTGGCCGTTCTGCTTGGCCGTGGCACTGTCGTCCTCCACGCGCACCGGGTGGAGCGGCAGGCTCCCCTTGGCCGCCAGTTCTGCAAGGTGCCGGCGCTTGGAGTAGAAGTCGTCGTTGACCTTGTCAGCTGTTTGGGTTCAAAAGARGTAGGAACAATGAGGACAAGGTTAGTGCGATGCACAAAATAGTAAAAACCAGTCAGTTTACACTAGGTCGCGTATGGTTTTACCTGTAGACCAGACAGAATTACAGATACGTCAGCAGAAAAAATCCACCCTCGCGCCATTTGTTTTCTTTCTCCTGCTTATGTCTTTTTGGATAAAACCATGCTCAGTGCTGTGTATGCACAGGCCAGGCCCGCTGTGCTTTAACGAAACCCTCAAAGCATTTGGCTCTGTTGATTTTTGTTACTCTGAGGCAGTGCCCGAAGAGCCCTACTTCRTGTGCATGGCTTTGGGGTTAGGGACAAGTGTTCAAAGGGCCTCTGTGATCCACTTTGGATACCCAAGCAATAAGGGCACCTCAGCACCATTTGGGCACTCGCAGTCTTGTATCTGTCACGCAGAGCAGGAAGGTTGGAATGTGTTTAGAAGCAAACTTGGTCAGAAATACAGGGCACCCTGGGAAGCCTGGCTGTATCAGAGAACAAGTGCAAGGGTGACACGAGGGTTTAATCAATTGGTTGCGTGGTCCAGCTGCGTAAGAGAGTGGGCACTTCCTGATGCAAAATACTTGGGGCTATGGTGGAGAGTGGTCCCAGTTCTTATAAGTATGAAACTTCACTGGTGCTTCATGGGACAGGAAATACTTCAGGTTACTGGAGGTTAGGTATTTGCACTGGGATTTTATGGGCAATGAAAATACTAACYTGCAGATCCTGACATCATTTTCCAGATCTAGTGCCTCTAAGAAATAACAGCAACACCTCAACAGAAAATACTGCATTGCAGTTCTCAAATCAGGTTTTCCTCTGCTGCTTCCTGGGTGTTTGGCAAATGGGTTTGTTCCAGTTGGGCCGCTGTTTGTTATTGCTGGCAGGTGTTTTGCCTTGCTGAGAACTATGAGMCACTCTTGGGAAGCTGAAGGCTTCTGAGCACCTCATTTCAGCTTCAAGACTGCGTGTCAGGGCCTTGAGGGGAGCAGAACTCCATTTACTCTTCAAGAAGCGAGTCGCATACGTAGAGAGAGAGASACGTCTGTGCAGGTGGGCTCTGCTCCTAACTCTGCCGCGTTGTCATTGAGGACGTGCTGCCCCTCGGAGGAACTGAAAGAGCCTCCGAGGAGCCCGTGCTGTAAAGTCAGGCCTTATGTGCCTTAGCTGCCTCCAGCTGTCCCTCGTGTTTTCAGTTGGTGAGGGAATTCTTCTCTATAAGGTGGGGGTGTAATAAAGCATGCAGTTTCCCTTCCCTTTTAAACAAATGGCAGCCTGTGGGTAATGGTGTGTCCTGACCTCAGCGCAAGACATGCCATTGCTGAGAGACCTCACGTGTTACGAAGGGGACCTCCCAAGTTTTGCTCTTGTTTTGGGGTGGTTTCTTTCATTTAGAAATTTGTAACTTGAATAATGGAGAACTTATATCTACTTCTCCTTGGAAGAACTTCTTCCAGTTCTAAAATTGGCTTGTCCTATTTAAGCTGTTGTTATTCCCTGAATGCTGCAAAACAGACTTCTACATGATTTTAATAGAAATGAGGGTGAAATGCTATCTCTTTTGCTAATTTCTCATGAAGATTTATGCTATCAAAAGTCAGTTCAGAAAAAAAAAATGCAGAAACTGCATTGTGAATATATAGCCAATATTTATTTGGATAAGCTCTCACATCAAAGGCACCTACAGGCCACCTGGTTAGGGGAGCAGTTTTGCTATTCTGCAACTTAGACCATGTCTCTATATAAAAAGTCATGCTAGCCTGGGTAATTTAAATTCAGCATAGTTAATTATGTCCAGCTCCTAATATAGACACGTTTGTCTGCCTATTTCATGTTTAAATTGGTTTATTTGCATAGAAAAATTAAAAACTAAGCTAATCTCATATAAGCATGCAGTAAAATTGTAAGTTTGTGGTTTTGATTTGATCTCTTTAGTTGCACTGCAGCAATTTGTCTCATATAACCAAGATCTTTGATGATGAATTGAAACCTAAGCAGTGACCTCTGTTTAGAAAAATAATGGTTGCAATACATGGTTATTTAGATAGTGGGCTATAAAAAGCTGCAGTTCCTCGTACTGCCTGTGTTTTTAATGATGTTTTTATCTTTCACACGCCCAGCTCCGGAGGCCTCAGACAGCCCCACTGGCCACCCCTGCCTGCCAGGTAGTGGACTCTGGTTTTGTCCAACGCTCACCGCATTACCCAGCCGTCTGCACCCACTGCGACAGGTTTTGCATGTCAGCTCTGTTAGGGTTGTTACCAGACCACCATGCTATGGCCCAGAGCAAGTTACCTGCTGCTAGCAGGGTGCAGAAACATCTGGACCTTTTGTAATTTTCCAATCCAAAAAAGATTGAGAAGGTGCGAAATCGAGCATGGTTTGGTAACAACTGTTTTATCGAGACAAGCACGTTGGCAGTATCTTGATGTCAGCTACTTTAAAAATTACCTGTGAATATCAGGAAGTTCATTTTCCTGCTTAACYGGTCCCTATGAATATTTTGTGGACATTAAGCATGGAAAGAGGTGTTTTGGAGTTACAGGATGAGTTATTGTGTGGCCTTGGTTACGTGGCTGACCCTTCCTCTATCCTGCTTTCACCAGCAGTAAAATGAGCTGTTAACACATTGGAGGAGGCTGTTAAGTTTTATGAAGATTAATTGCTGTTTGTAGAGTAAGCTCAGTTTTCGAATGAAAGACTCTACAGTAAAGTGCCTTCTGTTTATAAATCAGAAAAACAGGATTTAACGATAGCACTATCATGTTYGCAAGAGGAGTCAAGAACTAGAATYGCAGAATTGGCAAAGAATGGTGGAACATGGGGTGCTCAGAGCCCTCCCTGTTGCTCCCTCCTGCCCCACTTTGCAGCTAATTGTGCAATTGTCCCCTTTTCAATATTTTTGCAAACTTTTGCTCCTTTAGGGTCATGCACATATACATTTAGTTACTGTTGCAGCTTTTCATCTGTAAAAGCTGTTGAAATGTGAGTATTTGCTATTCCCAAATGTTGGGTCTGGGAGCAGGGGAGTCCTGGGCCTTTGCTCCTGCTGTGCATGAAATGTCTACCTGAGAAAGCGTACAAATGGTRCAGGGCCCTGAAGCAGGACTCCTTCCTCCGAGGGCCTCAACTCTGCAGCCGAGGCTTCTGGTGCGGGCCTGGTAAAGTTTGTCTTTATTTTGGCTCAGGGGAAGAAGCTCAAAGATAGTCTAGGTGGGAACAATCCTGGTAGAAAGGAGATGGGGCTGCTGGAGAGATTGTAGATTTCAATCTCATTGAGTTGGAAGAAGAATGGAGCTGCGGACCTGTTATCTGCAAGGCTTATCACACCACTCCTCACTCGTGTCTGAACGCAAGGGAAGCCAGGGAAAAGTTCCGTGAATTGAGCACCTCCTGGTTAGCTAGCCAGAAGTGAGCGTGCTAGTGATGGCATTCTTTGGGTTCAAGTGTTCCCATTCTGCCCCAATCTGTCACTGAGCCGGGCTTTGGTCTTTCCCTGATGTTCATCCATGAACAAATGGAGAGTTTCACACACTTGTTCTTCATCCACAATGTATAGCAATAGTGAAGAAGCCAGTGAGTTGCTTACTAGGTGGGCATGCGGGGTGCAAGGCGGTGGCGGGAGCGGCGCTGGGCCCAGCGCGGCGCCGTGCGCAGGCCATGCCGTTCCCTGCGGTGCTGTCCCCAGCGCRGCCATGTTGGCCCACGGGCACGGCAGGCACGAGGCCCGCTCCGCACGTCTCACTCATAGGCAAAGCATCCACGCGGAAGCAGTGCCTTGTAAAATTCTGCAGTTACAAGTATTTCTGTATGGGGAGTAAAACTCTGTAAGGAGGTTTGGGGATAATCCTGGAGCAACATTTTTCACTCTTTCCTCAGCAGAAGTGCAGTGACAATCCTCTTATCTTTGTTGGTCCAAAAAGCAGCTCTGCATCCTTGGACCGCTTCTTAGAGCTCTGATAGAGGTGAAACCTCCTAAAACACATTTCAATGCTGCCAGTTTTGTGAAAGTAAGCACCTAGGGAGTGAAAAGAGACCTCCCACGTGAGAGAGAATTGCCAGAGTGAGCTCTGAACACAAAAATAGCTTCAGTGGGAGCTTGCGGTCAGCCAGAGGAGACACTCGTGTAGGAAACCCCATTGCTCAGTTCAGATTTCACAGAACTGGCTCTTATTTGAACATATTTTAAGGATGCTCTGAAACCCAGAGCTTTATGCTAGCCACAAAGGGATTGCCTTCCCCAGCTGGGGCTGCAGATTCAGACAGCAAGCAAATGAAAGGCCTGAGAACAAGACAGTGGTGAAACCACTGCACTGATGCAGCAGGTAACAACTGTTTGTAGCTGTTTCCTGCGTCACAGCAAAGCTCTCTCAATGTAGTTTTAATGGTTTTGGAATAAGGTTTTCCTTGCACAGCTGTGTCTTTGCTCAGGTTTTAGTGTACTTTCCCAAAGCAAGGAGAGCTTTGCATTTCTACTTGTAAGTAGTTAAAGCTCAAGAAAAGATCCGAGCTGAGAGGCCCTGGCGCAAGGACAGCACTAGGCACTGGGAACTAGAAGGACAGTGGCTTTGGTGGGGATGCTGTCACTCCTCCCTGCCTGCAGGTTGCTTCTTCATTTGCTCTCTAAGGCAATACATTCAAATAATAATATATTCAAATACTTTCTGGTGTTACTTATGTCTATCAAGTAAAACAAGCAGCTGCTGACCTGCTTTTTAATGAAGTGGCTCAACAGGCCTCAGGGAACAGCCCAGGATTGTTTTTAATTCTCCTGGCGGGAGGGCGTGCAGGAGGGCAGCAGGAGCAGGAGGAAGCGCCGCGCTGCTCGTGCTGCTCGTGCTGCTCGTGCTGCTCGTGRCTCCAGCCCTTGCCCTGCAGCGAGGCCCACGGCGTCCCTCACTGGCTGTTCCCATGCCGGGGGGGCCTCCGGGGGCGCCGTGCCAGTGAGAGCTGCTCTAAGTCATCCTGGATTCTGG